ATTATTATAATTATTATTTTTATTACTTTTATTAAACCGTGCAATTCATCCACTTTATATTATTATGTTTTAATTGTTTATTTATATATATATTTATATAAAAAAAACATTTGAAACAATTTAACCACGGATTTATGTGGGTTATTTTTAAAACATTTTCGTTATTTTACCATTTAAAACAAATATATAAATTTATATAATATTACCTTCTTAGATTTTATTTAATACATGTTTACACACAACATTGTATATTAAATTTGTTAATAATTTTGATTAACCACTGTTAGCCCCATAGTTATTAATGATTATTATTATTATTGTATAATATACATGTTTTATTTTAGTTCTTAAATATTTTAAACATATAAATTATCTCAAAACAAAACTTTTGTTGCGTTAACGTTTCCATTATTTTCATATTTTAATTTAAAATACTACGATTATTATTATAATATTTTTTTCTTCAAAATTGAAATAATTTTATGTTAACATTTTGTTGTTGCTTTATTTGATATATATGAACTTTGTGTATTTTTTTTCTATTAGTCGTTTTGTTATGTTTTCCTAAGTAATAACATTTTTTTTTTTTTTAATTTTCATTCCTAAATCATGTTTTTTTGTCTAAAGTCACACTAAGAAGTTATGATTTTTTTTTCTAGAGGTGAGTGGGATTAGACAAATATTTAAACAATATTACGTCGGTAAAAAGTGGCACGCATCTTGTAAAATGATTAGCTAATTTAAAAGATAAAAATATTAATTTATGTAATAACTGAAATGTTAATTTTAATTCAATAAGCAATAAATTAACGTTATTTGAAAATAATTAAATTTTCTTAATTTATACACTATTTTTTTAATGTATTTCCTAGATYATTTTTTTTATTTATAAAAAAAATATACAATCTGCAAATATTAAATTTTTGTTCAAAAAGTTTATACAACAATTGACGAGTATTAATTATTAAATAAGAACAAATAAATACAATTGTTCGCTCAACAGATGAAGAAAACTAGCTTCAATAAGGTTCAACTCATTCAATGGTGTTTAAATATGACATAGCATTAAGTAAGGATTGAATTAACAACTTGAGATCAAAAATCTTGAATTTTAGCCTATAGGTGAGAAAAAGTCCAATAATAACTACTAATACATTCATTATCAATGAAGACAAAATTGATGAGACTAAACACTATATTTTTTAACATCCCATTTTTTTTTTAAATAACAAGTTTATACAGACAAAACAATCTCATTAATCTTAGAATAAATAAACATTTATCAAACAAAAAAATAAACATAAATTCTTACTAATAGTTTCAATAAAAATAATATTGAATAAGCTAAACATCAATATCATCTTCATTTTCATCTTCATCAATAAAAACAATAGTTGCTGTAGATGGTTCTGGCGTAAACACACTTTCAACATTAACTGTACAATTTAGCACATTGTCTGTATCCTATAACAAATAATGATATTTAGAATAATTATAAGTATGTTTCATAAACGTTTAGATTTAACTTACAGTGTTTGGATATTGATCATCATTAAATTCTTTGTCCTAAAAATTATACTAAATTTAGTTTAAGTGCATACATTAGAATCAAAATTATATTAAATATTAACTTTTGAATTCATTTTAGTGAGGACAAATGGATCTGATTGGGTTCCTCTACTTATTTTGATATTGTTATTCTATTAGTTGAAAGGATATTGAAATAAAAAAAGAAAATGCATCATTTTAAAATTTAAAACAATCATTCATAAAACAAGTTAATTTATTTTTTACCAATTCTTTGATTAAAAATATGTAGTATACCTCTTTATTAGTAAACTTTTCTAATGCTTTTTCAAATTCATAATGTAGATCTTGCAATTCATATTCGTTACTTTCAATACAACTCAATGTCAAATCAATATCAGTACATGTTTCCATCCGCTACATATAAACATAAATAATTACAAACATAACTAATAATCATATAAAATACMATTGCTATAATTATACTAGATAGAACATAGGTAACTTACATATCCATCTCTAGTCACTGGTTCGTTTGAATAAAACAAACAGTTTAAGAATTCATTATTTTTTTGAACAATTACTTCATTTTCCTTCATTTGGTTCATCAGATGCTTATTAATTGATATAATCTCATTAGATTTTAATTTGCAGTCTGTTAATTGATCATCCAAAACAGAAATATGAGCTAATAATGAATTGATTAATTCCTGAGGAGAAATACAACAATTACATGCTGACATTTTTACAAATGAATTGGAGAAAAAGTATTCAATTTTTTCAAATAAGCTATTACATTCAAAAACAGTGATAGAATTAATATAACATGTAATTA